GCCGCCGAGTTCTTCGTGCTTGCTGGATTCCGTGGTACCGTCGGTGAGAAGGAGCGAAGTTCCTTCCGGGAAGGCCAAGGCTCCGTTCAGTTGGGCATCACTGTCATCTACTGCTACGTCTACAGCTGCACTTTCCAAACCAGGGGGAAGGACGTAGTATGGCAGTTTGCCCCGTTGGAGGTCGTATAGCACTACATCAAAGAAAACGAACCCGCAGATGACTCGCAGTAAGTAGCCGGAAGTGTGATGGGCAAGTAGTATTTTCAAGTGGACGGCTCACTATAATTGAGCGGGGCTTACTTATCCGGGCAGCTGTAGAAATATCAGGCTCCCCGCCTTTCTTCAGTTTTCCAAGCCGAACAGCCAAAAGTGAAAGAAATTCCTCAGCATCTTCCCAAGTCGTGCTTTGATCCAAGCCATAGCGGGTTATCACGGCTTCCCTGAATGACCAGCCAAGACAAGCCCGCTCCCCTGGAGTAGCGGATGGTGGCTTCGTGGGTTACGCTGGACTATTGGCGTGGCAAGATCAACGCACCTCTTGACCCGCTCTAACACGGTACCAATGTGCTCCTCAGGGGAAGCGATCCTTTCAGGCCGAACAACACCCCGCATCACCTGAACGCAATGATAATAAGCCGTTTCCTCCCACTTAGTAAATAGCGCCAAGCGTCATGAAATTAGAAATTGCCAATGCATTCAAGCATGAACCCCATTTTGCCCCAGAAACTATCTACGGCGACGCGCGTCAATCAAAGAGTAAAATGCACCTTATCTGTGTCATTGCCTGCATCGCTGCTGATGGGAACAATGCCCGGGCAGTCTATGAGGTACAGCTTCGAGGTGAGAGCCACGTACTGCCACACTCGGGTCTGAAGCACTCATGCAGAAGTCGCAGCTACTTCGCACATATACAACGATGAAAAATACGCAAATATTCCAACGACATGATCAACTTCCTAGTTGGAGAGATCGACCGCCCTTTTGTCGGTGCTATCCTTGGTAAAATATACCATCAAGATCTTAATAACTCAGATTAAGAAGCCCCTTAACTCTTCAAAGCGCAATTCGCAAGAGATCTAATTAACCAAGCTGCTGCATATGCCGGTGCCGGAGAACAAAAACCGTCTCCATACGCCTCTGTCGAAGTTGCATCGAGCTAGTATGCAGATCTACCCCAGTGCGTTGACAAACCTGGCCTGGTATCGGGGCCGCCTTGCAGACTTGCTTGCTCTTTAAAAAGTTGATGATTGAACTTTTCCCCACGTTAGGATATCCGAAAAACCCAATGGATACATGCTTTCTATCTGAAAGCAACTGCCCGTATTGTCTGCGCAGAGAGGAACAAAAAATACAAAGTTCATTTTTGATGGCATCCACGCCGCCTTGGAAACGCCTGTTGGAGCTTCGTACCTCAGTAACTGGAAAAGCTGAGTTCTGCCGATGTTCTTCTTGTTCTTGTCGGCTTGCATGAGCAGCGTCGGCATTTCCTTGCTAAGCTGCCGTAACCAGTGGCGAGCGACACGCGGCGGCACCAAATCCACCTGCAAAGAGAAAACCGCCGAGACAAAACTATCTCCGCTAGGAGTTCCATCCAAAGCAGAGGATGCCAAATTTAATGTACTGTCGTACCTTGTTTATGACAAGCACCAAATGCTTCGAAGAGCGCTGCGCCTTCAGATATCTCTCAAGGCGCGTGCATCTGCGTCGCCACGGAGGCAGGGCAAAACTATGCAGGAAATAGGGGGAATTTCATTGATTTATGCGAACAAGGCAATCAAATGATGTGCTCAAGAAAAAAGGTGCAGTCAATTAATCCGGATCATCTAGGCGGCCTCCACTGCAGCAGCGCCTTTCCGCCTACGGAGGCGTCTCAGGAGATCAAAATTCATCACTTTAGCAGCCAGAACACTAAATTGTGCCACGACCACCAGCCACATACCGAGTTCCCATCGGGTCACGCGCGTCTACGACTTGTACGAGGACGTCAGAGGCGTCGATAACTTTGTATAACTCCTAAAAGCAATTCCAACAAACGCGCCTACACCGCGTGGCTGTCAATGTAACGGAAGTAAGACTAGGTTGGAACATCAGCAAGAATATTCGAAACTTCCGCATGCTTATGGTAGACTGAGACGACGCACTCCCCATATCCTGCGACTTGTTCCCTTTTGGTAGATCGACTCTACTGGACCCCCCTCGCCGCCACTGTCTGCTGATGCACTCCAAGAACCGCAGGATTTCTCAAAGGCTGCCTCGCGTTCAGCAGCCTGCGTTAAGCCAGACGGAAACAGAAATCGGTCAAGACGAGCTCCAAGCGAAGCTTCCTAAATGGCTGTGTGGCCCAACGCATCGCAAAAACGCATGGGTACTCCTTACCTGCGAAGCCAAAGTAGTCAAGTCAGCTGCCTGTAAACGCGGTCGCTTGCGGGTTTTTTTACTGCCAAAAACACCTTCAAACGGCTCGAGAGCGACAAGAGCATCTCCACGCAATTTCGGCAATGGTCCTCCGGTAGTGACAGCTTCCTTGTTGCCTCCAACATTTTGATCTTTTATGAGGCTCATTGGCAATTTTGATCGCTTCAGAACGACTCTAGACGCACAGAAACATCTTGCCCAGACAAAGTAAGCTGCCACCTTTATCTGCAGAATGCTATTTTCTATGTCGCTGTATTGATGCACAAAGCTACATATGCAGCCGAGCACCATGCAGCGACGGGAAGAATTCACGTCCCTACTTGGCCTTACGTGTATGGGTCAGCGGTTGCTTTTTGAATATCCTCTCTAAAAGCCGCAAGCTTTTGCTGGTCGATGACTCGTGTGTTGCCGAACCACCGGCGGTCAGGCTGAATTCTTGCGGGCGCCAACGGCTGCGGTTCTTTGCCTCCCGGCCGCAACCACTTGGGCTTGGAGTTGTACATCTGCAGCAGTCTTATTTTGCTTGCAGAACGGTAATGACCTGACAAATAACCTCGACACTGCACACTTCCAAAAGCATGCATCATCTGCGCTGGTGCCAAGCCGTGCACTTGCTATCGCGGCCTCGTTAAGCGGTATCTTTCTTCCTGCCGGTTCGTTAACGTTGTAGCACTTACACAGAGACAAGACCTGAGCGCGGGCAAGCCTATGTACAGCAGAAGCCTACCGGGTTTCTTATTGGTCGGTATTTGACGATTCGGGAGAGTCGACGCCGAACCCCTCGTGATTGCGGACCCCTGTTTAGGGCCCCCCCCGCCAGACTTGGGGGCCCCACTGCTGTTCCGCTTTTTCATTTTTGCCATGGCTGACCTAGTATACTATGAGGAAGTTTTGCAGCACGCGAATGCACGGACAACCTTTCTACACTTCTGCAACGCTCAGTGTCACGAGGAGATAAAAATCAACAGGGGCAAAGTCGCCTAATGAGCGTTATTGGCCAATGTGTCTCCCGCGCCTGAATCATCGCCACAGAGAAATGTCCTACAGATTCGTCTATTCTGCAGGTACAGGGCCCGTTGGTGTTGGATCCCGTAGAAGGCTGCCTTTCCTTGGAGTGGGGCAGCCCGGGACTGCATCAAGCCATCGATTCCCCTCTACTGCAGTATAGAAGAATGAGTTTGTATCGCTTACAGATTAAAACAGACCCTGCGCGTTTGTTTTTATCCCCTGCGCGTTACATTGGTCACCAGTCACCTGGCCGACACAGCATGCAAGCCACAGGCACCAGCCCCAAAGACCTCCTGGCGGTATTGGGACCCTTCAGTAGGGCCCAACAAATAGATGCACAAATACAACTATTTGTTTCACGGGGCAATGACAAGTAACGCTGCTAGGAGGAAGAACCTAAAGGGGATGGCTAAAGGAGCTGCTGGGGGCCCTTACTATTGCATGTTTCCGTGTTTGCTTCTCCGTGCCTCAGTATATCCCCCTAAAGATCTTCTATAAGCAATACGCCACTCCTTTTCAGTTGGTTCATTAAGCAGGCCTCATGACACCCGGGCCATGCAGATGCCTTTCCACCGTCAGCTCTTACTGCAGGAGCGACAGCAACCGACGCCTGCCCAACACCATCAGCAAGCCCAGCAGCCGCCCCAAAGACAGCTGCGCATAGACAGACGGAAATCGGGGCAGCGCGGGGACAACGGCTCCCCACGAACGGGGACAAGGGGTGGCGATGGGGAGTCGAACTCTGCAAAACCTGTGGATGCGCATTCAACGGCACCGCCTTGGGCCCATTGCCCTCTGCTGCAGCCTCCAACGGCTTTAGGGAATCCACAAAACCATCATTTTTTAAAAGTTGGTAGTAGAATTGCCACAGACGGCAAATCAGCTGCAGAGGGAGCCGCAGAGCCCCTCAAAGTTACTGTTCTTGGCGCTGGCCAAGATGTCGGTCGCAGTGCGGTGTACGTACGGCGAGGAGAAAGGGGGCTTCTTTTCGACTGCGGCAGCCATCTAGGGGCTAAGCAGGCCAGGAAGCTGCCAGTTTTGAACATGTTGCTGGAGCTCGCCCCTCAACAGAATGCTAGGCAAGAGACACAGACAATGGAAGAAGCGCTTCTGCAGCCTTCGCCTCTGTTTGCCTGTTGTACAGACGCAACGCTTATCTCTCATTTTCACATGGACCACTGCGGCTCTTTGCCGTCATTTACAGAACGTCTCGGGTAAGAATGTGGTTCAGCTCTGCAAAAGTTTCAACTGTCAGGTGGTTTCCTCAACATAACAGGGGGCGTGGCCCTCTTTTCAGAATTACACACTGCAGCGTTTTGCATGCATTATTCAGCCCGTGGTGTGATGCCTTTGTAACGGTGTTTACGAGGGATGTCGTGAATGCTGATAGGTTTCGACTCACTAGTAGAGTGCATGCATTCGCTGCCTCCAGTCTAGATGCATATTTTTTGCGGCTGATGGCCGCATTATCTCTTT